GCATGCACGGCTGTGTGCAGGTGATGCTTTTTTAATTTTCCCGCGTCAAAATTTTAAAAAATCATTTTTTTTTAATATTAAAATTTATTGTTTAAATAAAATTTTCATTATTCAATATTGATTCATTTGAAGTCTGACAAAACGTCGAAAATAAAGAAGATATCATAAATAAGAAATCTTTTCAAATGAAGAAGAAGAAAAAGACGAAGATGATGATGACGACGATGATAATGATGATGATGATGACAATGATGATGATGATGACGATGATAATGATGAAGGAGAAGAAAAAAATGATAAGAAGAGGAAGGAGGTGACGATGATGATGACGATGTGATGATTATGATGACGACGACGACGACGACGATGATGAAAATGATGATCAAGATGATAACGTCATGCGGTTGACATGTTGATGAAATAATTGAAAATGATGATGAAAATGACTCGCTCGATAGGGATGAGATTATTATAATTGATGCATTTGCGTCACATGACCTGTTGATCATGCAACAATGACGTCACGTCATCATCAAATCCATTTCATTTAATTAATATCACACAAAAATTGTTCCGTCCATGGAATTTAATTAAATAGATCTTTACAATAACGTAATAATGAAATTAAATAAATCATTAAATTACTAAATTTTTCAAACTCAATCCATTGACGCAATTTCAAATTAATTTTTAATATCATCTTTTAAATTTTATTTAAAAAATTCTTATTAACGAGTCAAGTATTTAAATTTCAAAAAAGATTTTTAAAAATTAAACAAAAAATTATTTCTCCAATTCAGATGACATGATGCGTGTAAGCTGAAAAATCTTTTTTTTTTGCCAAGCAAAAATTTTGTTTTAAATTTCACTTATAAAAGATCTCATGAGTTGCTTTAATTTTTTAAAAAATTTTATAAAAAACTGCCAACTGTTCTATGACCAGTAAGTATTTTATCGCATCACGTTGAAATCGGACAAAAATTTAGGAAAAACATCAAAACAACTAATTTTTATCACACTTTCGTCTTCTTCTTTTTTCAGGACATTGGTGACTATTGACCTCTACAAAACCCGATCTTTAACACTTTGTAGTAGTTGAGATGTGGTGATATTCAACAAGTGACACAAGGACTTTACGAAAGTTATTCGTTGTTGATCGCGATCTCTTCTCCATGCAATCTTTGTTGTAGTTGTTACAGTTTCAATTACTTCCTTCCACATGATGTGACCAAAAAACTTTAACTGCCACCCTCAGATTATCTGTAGTAATTTCTTCTTTTCATAACCGAACTGTCTTAATAGATCCTCATTGGAGGTGTGAAAGTTCCAACTAATTTTCATAATTCTTCTCATAAACCACATCGCAGTAACAATCCTTTTTTCAATTTCTTTAGAAATCGCCCAGGACTCAGAGCCGTATGTGAGCACAGGAAAAGTGTAACATTCTAACAGTTTTAATTTTGTTGATACTCTGATTTTGTTTCGACAACGAATGATGGCAACTACAACTTCTGCCAAGAAAACCATCGACAAACACAAACCAAATGCACACATACGTATGTTATTATTTTCCATTGCCGTCTGCTTAACAGGTATGTTGAAAAAATGAAATGAAAATATAAATTTTCTGTAAAAAATATTGGCATCTATTGACAAAGCTGTCCAGGAATAAATTTGATGCTAGGCATGTTTCTGTTATAGTTTTTGTTGCCACTTTAGTTTATCACATGTTCATCGTCGTCGTCATCATCTACATCATCTTGTCAATTTATCAGCTACATTAGCAACATCATTGTCCTCATCGTTGTTATCATCATCATTATCAGCACCAACATAATCATCTTCACCAGCACCATCATCATCATCAGCAGCAGCACCACCATTATCATCATCATCATCATCAACAACATTATCGTTGTCGTCGTTATACTCATCATCATTATCGTCGTCGTCGTCATCATCATCATCGTCATATTCATTATCATCATCATCATCATCATCATCACATCATCGTCATATTCATTATCATCATCATCAGCAGCATCATTGTCACGTGACAACGTCAACATTGCCAAAAAGAAAAATAATTCCTCTCTCCACTGAAAATTTTTACAATTTTTTTCTTTTCAATGTAATTATTCAATGTTTAACTGTCATCTCTTCAACTTAGTTGTTAACCATAAACGTGAGCCAGATGGAGGAGGGGTGTCTGGGAAGGCCGCACCCTCTTGCAACAGACAGGTTGGTTGGGGTAAAGATAGGTAGGTCATAATACAATACGATACAATAATATACAGTACAATACATTAAATTGCAATACAATACAATACAATAAAATACAATACAATACAATGCTTCAAGTGAATGTTTAATTAATGTAGTAACATTGGGTTATTATATTGCCGTTAACAAATAAAATCTGCCACCTGTTGTTTCTGCCTGCACACTTAGCAACAACGAATCAAATCAGGGTAAAAAAGAAGGTTGGCGATCGCCAGTTGCAGATCTAGGGTCCCCGTTCTGAGCATTATTGGATAGAAAGTCAGTAAAAGTCAGTTTTTTTCACAGGAAAACACCATTTTAAATAAAAAAATCGGTTAAAAAATTGTCGTTAAAAGCAAACAAAAGGTCGCCAACCTATTTTTGCAGCATTAACGAAAACTTGTTAGTTTTTCGGCTTCTCTCCGTCAAATTTATTCAAAAATATCAACATTTTTCAAATTTTGCGCCACATCAAACAAAATTAAAAATAAAAATGAAAACAAATGAAACAAAAGTGGTAAAAAAAATGAAAAAAAGGAATAAATGATTCAATGAATGAATGAACGAACGAACTAACGAAGGAATGAATGAATATATATAGATGAGTAATTTTGTTTGATGACCAATCACCAGACAGTTATGCTGGCGTTTAAATGAGACAGCCTCACGTGGTGTCGGAGGGGAAGGAGGAGGTTGATGAGAGGCAGGCACATTAGCAGGACTCAACATGAATTATGTCTTCCTTGCATGCCTCCCCGCTCACTTGCCTCGTTTCTCCTCTCTCTCTTTCTCTCTCTCTTCTCTCTCTCTCCTTCTCTCTCTTTTTCTCAAACGACCGAAGGCCAACTGAACAAACGAAACATGTGCCAGTAGCTGTGTGTGTATACGTATGCCTGCCAGTTCCTCTCTCTCTCTCTCTCTCTCTCTCTCTCTCTCTCTCTCTCGAACAAAACACATACCATGTGCTGTGTACATGTATGCCAGTTCCTTCCTCTCTCTCTCTCTCTCTCTCTCTCTCTTTCGCCCTAAACCACAACAATTTTCTATTGATTTTTCAGAAATGTTTTTATTTATTATTTCTGCAGCCCACATGAGCTCGACGTTCGTCTGGCTTCCACCGGTGAAATTTCCATGCAACGCAACAGTGAGTAAACTTGCATGAGGTTTCTAATGGATGGAGACATCATGTTGATGTCGGCATGTTTGCATGTTGTCATTCACTCGTTTGTCACAATTGTTGCCTGGTCGCTTCACTTTTAAGTAAAACCGCTTAAAATCGTTTAATTGGAATAAAATCGTGTGTCTGTGTGTGCGTGCGTGTGTGTGGTGTGTGTCTGTGTGTGTGGTGTGTGCGCGCGTGTGTGTTATGTTGGAAAGAAAGGAAAAAATCAAAGAAAGCAAGAAAGAAAGAAAGAAGATGGAAATGAAAAGTTTTTATCAATGAAATGTTTTCATCTGCTCTTTTCAAATGTGTTCTATAAGCAAACAAAAACATACACTTATGTAAACATGTTTCGAATGTTTTAACTGTATTCACAAACGTGCTCGAGCCGATGCAAGAAATTATACATTCCATCCATCTCACATCTTCTCTCCACTTTTCCTCGCGTTATTGCAAACAAACACGCTTCCAACGCAGATTGCCCGTCGCAGGCACGTACAAACAACCACACATGTGCACACATCATTGGTTTGCCTATACACACACACACACACACACACACACACACACACACACACACACACACGCACAACAATTTTGACGTTATTCTTCCTAATTTCTAACAACATTTTTCTCTGCTAAAAATAATGAAAATGATTTGTAGGTTTTGAATGAGGCCGACATGAAAACTTAACTAAGAAAATTTTTAACTTTTCAAAAACAAATGCCAAAAGGCCGTTGAACAGTAATATTGCATTCTAAATTTCAAAACTTCCAACCAACTTATTCGTAAAGCACATTCTGCGTCAATTTGAAAATCTTGCTGGATAATGTTTTTCTATTTTACGTGTAATTTAAAAATCTTGCATCAACAAATTTTCATTTATTGGGGGGGGGGAATTTTCGTTAGAAGCAGAAACCTTTGTAAATAAATTGATAGGAGCGCAAATAAAAATGCTTCAGGCGTTTTTAGAAAAAAACTTTTATTATTAAAATAATTTCTAACCATGTTGTCCGTCGGTTGTTGGTTGCTATTAAATATTCATAGAAGGATCTGCTCGGCCAAATTTCTCTATTGTTAATCTCCGACTGGCTCTCACATTTTTTGCTCTTGAAATGAAAGTTTTGAAGAAATAAAGTCGGGAAGATTTAATTTATTTTATGTAAATTCTTATTTTAATGTATATAATATTGATAAAAAACAATTTAAAATAATTATGATTTTGTTAAAACTGGCAAAAAGTTAATATAAAACTTGAATGAATGTGATTGAATTGAAACGAATCACGAAAAAGAAAAATATTTTTTTGAATTCGGACAATAAATTTTTGGTTTCACATTCAGTTGAAGTTTCTAAAACGTTTGAAAACTACATGATGATGATGATAATTTAATAATAGCCTGATAATAATGATGATGGAAACTTTTTTTTTAAAAAATCGACATCATCAACAACAGAAAGTGAAAAGAAAATCAAGCCGTTAATAAGAAAATAGAAAATTGTTAATGATTTTAATTTACGCCATTATGAAGACTCATAAAATGTTTATTCAGCATCTCCACACGGAAGATTTGATCATAAATTGTTCCTATTACAATAAATGTCAAACGATGGAATTGTAACGTTCCTCATAAATTCATTGAGTCTATCATCTGGCCAAGTTAGCAGCTTAAGGCATTTTATCACTTCTTTGAGATCGGAGACGAAGCCAAACGTGGACACTTTCCAGGAAAAGATTTTGACACTGAAATCTTCATATTTCTTGAGTAGTTTGACATTTAAATCTTTTATTTGTTAAGTTTGTATTGTTTGAATTTTAAAAGATTAGTCTGGTGGCAAATTGCGAGTTCTACTACGTACACATTTCTATTTTCCATTATGCAAATGTCCGGGCGATATGATGATTTGAAAATATCTGAGATTGGTTTAACTTCAATCATCATTACATCTGCAAACATGTTTTGATTGGGCTTTTTAAAAGATTTCAATCAATCAACAATTGACGTTTCATATATCTGTTAAAAGCTATCTATGATTCACAATTTAAAAGAACGTGTTTTTTTGTCTGTGGTTTATCAGAGTCACGAAGTTTGCACCGTGGGTCCTTGATTCGCTTCCATCGTGCCAGCTTTGCAGCAGCTTTGCAGTACTGGCGTGTGCGCTGGTGAGCCTCCAAAACCCTTCTACCTTCACACGTTTTACCGCAAACGCAAGTTATATTTTAATATCTTACTTTTTGCGGTGAATATGTTTGTTGAACCACACGACCTGTGCATCTGCATCCGTGGCGTCCAAAGGATCTGAATTCCAAAAGGCATGTTGGACATTTCGCAGTCGTCAGTAACGTTTCTATTTTAAATTATTTTAACTTTGCCAACATCCAATAAATGAACTTCATAAACAAATTTTGAATTTTTAAATTTTTAAATCGTTCAATATCCCCAGATTATGACAAAACCACTCAAAATCAAACCAAATTTATAAATTATCAACTTTAAATTAATTTTACTATTAGTAATAACCACAAACTATTTTGACCAATGGTGATTTAAATAAAAACGGTTGAATTTTTAAATAAAAAGATCCAGCCGATACGCCAAAGTTTTAATTAAATTTTTAGAACTAAGAAGCAAATTAAAAACTTAAAAATTATTACAAATAATAATAATAGGGATAATAATAATGATGATGATGATGATAATGATAATAATAATAAAAATAATAATGATAATTTAATGATAATCTGCTATACAATTTTTTAATCTTTCTGCAAAATCTTCTTAGTTGAAAAATTATCAATTTTATTTTTCATAAAAAAGTTTCCAATTCTCTTTACATTATAAAATGAACAAATGGAAAAAACTGAAAAGAGTCTGTCAAGCCGTTTCTCCGAATCTCTTCGTACCAACAAATTGTAAATAACTTGTGATACAATCTTCAAGACACGAAACATAACCATTCAAATACATTCATTTCAATAACATACATTTTTTATTTGAGTAATTTTGCGGAGTTATTATGTAAAATAACATTGGCCTGCATTGTTGCGGATCCTTTTTGAAACACACACCGCCATACAGATACGTTCAATAATGCATACAAACGAACAGACGTTTCAGCAAAAATAGGCCTTCAACTTCGTTCGAATTGAAATGTCGCATGACGTGAAGCACAATGCAAGTGCACCTTTCATGCATGTTGGAAAAAATATCATTAATGACGTTCTTCCGTCGTTGCTAGTGCGGCAGTCAAATGAATGGCATGTCCATAATAACAAAGTAATCTGTTTGTAGAGGAATTAATGTACGCCCGCCATTTATGTGGAAGGATGGTCGACGATCGTCAATAATTCATCATCATTCTCCTCCTCCTCGCCCTGAACGCCTCTTCTCGTCGGAATGCTAGTTTTTTTTTATACAGGTTTTTTTCATACAAGTTTTTTTCGTACAAGTATTTCCGTACACGTTCTTACACGCTGTCCTCGTGTTGTTGTTTTCGCTGGACACAACAAGAAACATGCCTGCCAACAAACATGCCTGCTTGAAACACGTGAAGTATGTACAGTACACAGTAGGCACATGTACGTGAACCATGTATTTGTCGTTGTACTTCTATTTGTACTTTTTTGTGGCTGTACATGTAAGTATGTTGGTGCATGTTGTACATGTAGTTGTACTCATCAGGTATTGTACTTTGCATGCATCTATTCATAAATCCACTAACCCATTTTTAAAGATTTTGCACGGCAAAGCAAACCACAAAAAGTTGAGATTGCGCCATAATTAATTAAAAAAACAAAAATTACGCTAAATATTGAAATGAATAGCACTTCACTTGATTCGAAAATGTTTAACAAGTAATAAAATGGATTGGACGCAGATCTGCCGATTCAAGTTCTTCCATTAAAAGTGGAAAACAAAAAATTTGCTTCATTTCATTCCAATTGTAACATTTTCTATGTATATAATGTGTGCGTGTGTGTGTGTGTGTGTGTGTTTGCGTGGTGTGTGTGTGTAAAATTAAAACCAGCACACGTTCGTTCGTGCACACACACATCGAGCATACAGCGCGTTTCGCTGACACATGCATGGATATTATGTACAAACACTTTGCACACATGATTCCGCTGATGTTTATTTATTATTTATACGGAGGCGTATGTGTGTGTGTGTACGCACTCCATCCCACTTGAAGTTATTTCTGCTCTGCTCTCGTGGTCCTTCGTGCACATTTATTTTGTTGGCGCAAGTGTGCAAGTGTTGTTTGCTCAGTATATGTAATCGCGATGTGTGCGTGTGTGTGTGTGCTTGCGTGTGTGTGTGGGCTTGCCTGTGTGTGTTATGTGTATGTGCATGATTGAATAAGTGTATGTGTATATGTACACATAAGTCAGTGCGTTTGTTTGTTGGCCAAGTGGATAGGTTCATTGTACGCCTTCAAGGCTGTCTGGCGCTCATACACCGTGTGGACGAAAAAATATGCTAATTATTGTGTACATTGTAATGCGTTAACGTTTTATGTACATGTTGAGAGGGTAAATAGTATTATGTGCACTATGTAGACTGTATTATGATCTGCTCTGTCTGGAGTGTTGTGCACAATGTAGTGTGCACAAATTGTCGTTTACAATATGAGATTTACATAGAGTTTGATTTTTACTATGGATCGGTTAGAGAATAATTTGATTAAATTTGATTCCCATTGTAGCGTGTAGTGGTGTGACTGTGAATATTTGAATTAAACTTCAAATGAAAGTACTCCAAATGTTAAGAAAATGTTCAATGAAAGAAAGCAACTGAAATGCGGGAAGGGGAGAGTTGGAAGAGTTGACTTGAAAGCAGATGAATTGCTACCGCCAGCCGATTGACAACAACAACAACCGTTCATTATATCCAGGCAAGCACTTGCAAACCTCCATGCATGTGGAAAATTTTCATTAGAATCATTAGAATCACAAACAAAACAAAACAAACAACGACGACGATACAAAACAAAGTCCTGCCAGGCAAATGTGCGCCTGAGAGCGAGCGAATGCTTACGGCATGATCAAATGAGTTACATTTTTTAGTGGTTCCCATCAGCTGACAACATAATTCCGATCCGTATTGAAACAATCTCTGCACCAGTCAGCACCTTCCTTCTTTCTCCAACTCATGGCGTACGGGCAATTTTGAATTTATTGACAAAAGACATCATTTTATTTTTCTTTCAAATCGTTATTGGAGTGCTGAACAAACAAGCAAACACACATAAAACAACGGCGTGTTGAAGCAAATTTAATTGAAAAAATTTAAAAGGTCTGTCGGTCTGAGACGAGGCACGAGCGTGTAGAAGAACATTAATTTGCATTCAACAGTCACTTGACATGTACTGCAGCTGCATTGGAGCGCAAGTAAGCAGGGCAGAAACACAGAGTCATCCACACAAACACAACATCACCCACACATGCACAACATCACCCACCCACACACACACACATACACAACATCACCCACACATACACAACATCACCCACCCACACACACACACACACACAACGTCACCCACACACACACACACACACACATACACAACGTCACCCACACACACACACACACACACAACGTCACCCACACATACACAGCATCACCCACACACACACACACACACACACACACACATACATACACAACGTCACCCACACAAACACAGCACCATCAAGATAATCTCCTCAACAACACAAGTATCTTCTTAATGGAGTTATTGACTGTTGTTGAAGCCGACGTCCGCAATTAATTTATCCTTCCATCGATCGTGCGGTGTGTTTTCGTAAAGATGTTAGAAATATTTCCGCCGTTTGACATTCTTATTTGTTGCTGTCATGCCACTTTTCCACATGGAGAAGTTCATTTTCCACAGTCGTCGGCATTGATATTCGCCATCTACTCGAATGGTTAAATAAAATGATTTTAGCATTAAGCGTATTGAAACGTGTGCTGCAGCGCTTGAGCAGCCATTCGTGTAAAAATCATTTTCATGTCCCGTCAGTCTGGGGACTTCTGTTTTGTCAACCCATTCTCATTTTGTTTTGATGTGCATTTTGTAATCTTCCTCATCGACTAGCTTATTCAAACTAGTTTCGACTGAACAGATGAGGTTGTGTGTTAGTTTAAAATATGATTTTTTAACAAATTGACTATAAATTGTTTGGAGTTTTTTTATTTACAATTTTTCCCGCATACATCAGTGACAAAACTTTTCCATTGTAAATAAACTTTATAGATTTCAAATCAGCAAATCCAAGTCACACCATGTAGCAAGCACAAGCGGGCATGGTGGTTATATAATTCAACATTTCTACACAAACAACATTGCATCAGGTCAGCTTGTCACAACTTTTAATCAACAAATGTTGATATTGGTATAAAAATTACGACATTTGCAGAATGGTTTCCGTCGAGTCATATGAAAGAATGCATACAACAGAATTATCAGACCGTTAAAACAAATTTATGAAATATAATTTCCTCTTATTCACTGAAAAGTGGATTTCCACAAAAAATCATTTGCAAAGTTTTATTTCGAGAATGTTTTTTCTTCAACTATTTTTTAAAACTAAAGGATGTTAAAAAAAGAGATGTCCAACGTACAGCCCCCCAAGTCAACTCCTCCTCTCCGTTCAGATTCTCAGATTTCAAACAAAATTATTCTGCCGCTATTTGCCATTATGCATTCAATTGTGAAAAATACGATTAAATAAATTTCCTTGAATCATTCATTCACCGATGTCGTTTTGCTGGCACAGACAAGTCGAGAGTACTCAGGAGTTTCTGGAGGTACCTCACAATTAAACTATCGAACATCACCACTTGTGAGTCTGGCGGTCATTGCGTGTTGTAAATTGAAGTTCTCATTAAGTTCTACTTGCTTGCACGACGCTAACAACTTTTTACTATTTTTGATTTTAGATATGAGTAAAAATAAACAAAAATAATAATAGTAATATCAATAATAATTAATTATCACAATAATAAAAATAATAATTATAGCCACAATAACTAGGATAATCACATTAATAGTAATACTAACAATGACAAAATTAAGTGCATTGCTTAAACTATGAGGTAGAATTATGAGAAGGTTCTGCAAACAAATAGCAAGAAATACGCCTGCAGATACAGTTGAACCAAATTATTTTCATCATTTTGCATTCACATGATAGCTTCGGACAAATTGTCTTCTGAATTATTTGCCCGTGGGTTTAAAATGAAAAAAATTTCGTCATTGATGCATTTGGAAAAAGAATAATCATTTCCAATTCAATTCAGAAAGTGCCCTGAGGCTTTTCAAAAATGTAATCAGAATTTTTATGCCAGTGCTAAAATGTGTCGTTGCGTTTGCGTGTGCGATCTCGCAGGCGCGTGTGGCGTGTGGCAAAGGTGCGTGATGGCCACATGTGGCAACACTAACATTCCTGGCAAGCAAATAGCAATGCATAAAAACTTCTTCTTATGTACATAAAGATAAAAATACACGTGTCTACATAAACTTGCGCGTGTCATTTGACCACTTCTTCCATCTCCTTCTCACATAATGCACCAATGAAGTGAGTATATCTTAAATATAATGTACACGAACAGATTAAAATGTAATGCGTTGTAATGTAATGTAATGTAATGTCAGTAGTTAACCGTGTGTTGTACTGTAGGTAGGTGGATGCTGGTGCCTTCGTGTTGTGTCGTGTGTTGGAAGGACGAGAATAATTTGCGTATTTTTGAGCAAATGAACGTTGTTGTTGTTGTTAATGATTTTGTTGTTGCTATTATTGTTGTTGTTGTTGTAATTGCTATTGTTGTTGATGTTGTTAGTTATTTTTGTTAGCGTTTTTGTTCATGCTCATTTGTTTGTTTGTTTGTTTCATTGTTTACGTTATGAAAGCTTTCCAACATATGCGTGGTTTTCATGAAGACACGTGTTAAGTTGCGTGCCATTCCTTCATTAAAGAAATTTAATTTTCAAAGTTTTCAACGGACAAATTTTGTTTAATAATTAGCAACTGTTTTTATATGAACAATTTTGTTCATGCTTATGAGAAATGCAACTATTTAATCTTACAAAAATCGTCACATACAAATAAAACACACATATACATATGCACACATACTCATGCATACAAAATTAACACAATCGTCTAAAAGAAATTCGTTCACGAAAACATGTTATATACAAAAGCACCACACATACCACGCAGAATGCAAACAAAACCACACACATCCCAATGAAAGCGTCAACATACAAACCCATGTTCAGACAACATAAACAACAAACATGCAAATGCATGCAGACAGCCAACCACAAACACACACACATACAACAAACCACAAACAAACAGACCGACACAAATGCACTCATACAAACACAAACACGCCCCAACAAATATTGAACATGGACATAGAACAAGCAGTGAGAAAGGGCACAAACTTAATACATTTGAATGAACACGTGACCGCGGCTGACGAACGTAAGTCACACACGACAGAAACAAATATAGGATTGCATCAGAACAAATATTGATGTGCGCTGCGGACTAGCATGCAGACATGCCTCTACACATGCCAGATGCAGAAAAAATACATGCAGACAGACATACATGCAGACAGACAAACATGCAGATAGACAAACGAACATGCAAACAGGCATGAAAAACATCAACAACATGCTGGCACGAACCATGACAACAACACAACCATAGAAAAAATAGTACAATAACAACAAAAAATACATCATTATCATCAATACCATCACCAACAACAACGAAAACACAAAAGCTGATAAGACACATCGGTTGACATTCCGCGAAATGGACATGAAATCGGCATGAAATCCAAGGTTGTTAATAGCGGAGCAGCCGTTGCACTATTTCAACTTTAAATGCAAAATAAAATTACAATCGCTACTTACATACACACACACATATATTTATTATACAAACATATAATGAAACCTCTGTTGCATTTAGGCGGTTATCTTCTTGGTTAACGCACTCGGACACGTGTTGAGTTGCATAGATGACTGACATTTTGATCAAAATCAATTTTTTTAATTTTTACATTTTTTTCATTGTATACGTCGTTTTTCCCATTCTCATCCGTCATTCCCAAATCACGAATAGTGATTCCCAACCTCCTAAAATTCCTATTCCAGAAAGTTGGGTTCTACCAATTCATGTCCCATGCTCATCTCTTATTAGAACAGATAGGTTTTGAATTTTGGAAACTGTCTCCTTCAGTATGAAACAAAAATTTTTTAACTTTGAATATCAAATTTATTATAATTGCAAATATATTAGACAATCCATTTAACTTTAAACGCACTAAAAGATAGCGTAAAAATAAAGTAAAAGAATTCAATCGAAATTGAGTAAGAGAAAAATATTTCTAAAACACTTTTCATATAATAGTTCGACAAAAAGGAGCCGTAGCGATTTAGTCGATGCTTTTCTACTTAAGTAGCGACAGCGGTAGCGATAGCAGCGTTCTTTTTTATGATTAGCGTCGACAACCATGGTGAAATCTCATCTGACGCACGCTTTCCTCAAGTTATCAAATTTTTAAGAGCACTTTGGTAGATTTCTTTTTTCAAAAAATTTAATTCTCACAAAAATGTTACGGATGTGCTGATAATGCTCCCATTCAAAATTGAATCTAATTTAGTTTGATTGCCAGCTTTAAACGTCACGTGATACAATTCCGGAAAAAATTTCATTTCAACTTTTGACCAGCGTTGCATTTCCTCGTACAAAAATGTTGAAATTTTCAATGGTCCATTGCCTCGAGTCAGAATGAAGTGCTCTTTAGAAGAAATAATAAAATTTTTTTTTCTTTTTTTAACATTTTATTTGATTTCAAATTTGCAGAACAAATAATTTTAAATCAATTAATTTGTTGGATTCTAGATTGGAATGTCAGGAGCATCTAATGTTTAACAGTCGTTAGATGCGCACGTGTAATCCTGTGCGTGTGTGATATAATTACATAATTAAAATCATGTACTCGAGATTCTCATGGCATTTGAAGAAGGTCACTGTAGAATCGTTTGTTAAAAGGAAAGACGTTTCATCTTACTGAGGAATATTTCTCCTTTGTTTTATTTTAATTTGTTGTACAGTTTCATGGAACGTGTTTTAATTGAGGCAGTTCTAATCAAAACGATTGTTAATAAAAAATGATGTGTGCACGAAACACGAAAGAGAGTGAGTATCACTTGTTGACTGATTAGCCTGGTGGTCATCGTTAATTATATTGTTGGTCGTCATCATTCATAATGTAGGTCATCATCGCATCGCCACTTATATCGTCTGTCTGGATTACTTGAACTTTTGATCCTATCCCTTACATCGCGTGTCATCATTCATTATATTGTTGATCATTGTCAAGTAAATTGCTGCTCGTCGTGCTCTACGAACAACTTTTAAATTTGCTGTTACCAAAATGTTTCATATTCCATCATTTTAATAGGAACGTTGGTTTAAAACTGTTGTGTTTTTATTTCTTCACAACTTTTAAAAACACTTTTCGTGAAGAAAATTATGTGTTGGATTATAAAAAAGAATTTGTCTTCAATATCATTACATTAGGACATAATGCCCCTCCGAGATTGAAAAAGAAAGCAGAGGAAGCACGATTTGCGAGAATCTAATCTAATTACGTGAGACGTCCTAAGCTTCTTTAACGCTCAAAGTGCGAGCAGGTAACGATAGTTTAAAAAGATTTCTATCTTCCTTCCTGTTTGTTCCTGCTATAAAACCAACGTTTAAAACTAAATTTTCTTCTGTTGGCATATAATATTTAGTCATTTGTTTGCTGATATTTTGGGCAGTATCGTTCTAACTGTATACGTACGTATTTCATTTGATGTATCAGTAAATAGTATGAATATATTTGAAGAGTAATGGAAAATTATTTATGAACAGTAAATAACAGTAAGATTTTCGCGTGTTTCAATAGTGTGCTGCGAAGTTAGTAAATTAAAGATTTAGAATCCAGCAATATGAAACCCAACAGTACGGATACATTTGTTTGAAGAAAAAATTATTTTATTATCATAATTTTAGAAAAATTTTTAAAGTCTGCTGCATCACTGAGGTTTCAGGTGAACGTTCGAAATTGTTTCAGACATCTGATATTCAGCACTTAAAAAAGTTTTATAAAAATGTAAATGAAAAGTTTCAAATTTTAAATTTGCCTTCAGTGGCGTGCTGTTTATTAACGTTCATATCATATTTCATTTTAATATCGCCTGTTTGCTCAAATCAATTAAACTAAAAATAAATCAAGAATGGTTGTGATTCTGGAGACGTACATCACAAATTAATCTACAAAAACTCATTTGGAAAAAATAAATAATAAATTGGAGTTGAAATGCGGCACTTGAATTTATGGTTGACTGGAGCATTTGCACTATTTTATCATAGCAGGCAATCAATCACAATAGGTCAAACAGAGCAATTTCTGTCTAAAATTTTTTGTTTCACCACAAATACAACTTAGAAAATTTTATTGCAAACTGATTGAACACATCTAAAATGCATTTTCTTTGAACAAAATTGAAAAAAAGTTATTTTATAACACTTTGTTAAAATGTCAAATTTCATGGTTTAGATGTTTTTAAAGTGTTTAAATATTCAAATAAATGACTTCACAGTGTTTCATTTTTCTTCAATTTCACATCCGTAATTAAAATCGCAAATTACGTTCTTTTGTCAAGGCGGACGGAGGTAGGTGCGCATGAAGGCGGTTGGAAAAATCTGGCCTGCACCGAGTTCTCTCGTGATCTACGTCTTCTTGGCCACCTCTAACGTTCATTTTATTTATTTAATTTTTAAAATTTTTCTCCGCGGTAACGGTTTGTAAGTTAATGCCACTTCAACTGTTTTCATTTAAACTTACAACATTTCTTATTTTAAATTTATCCACGAAACGTTGATTATCTTCAAATTTGTTGAATATAAACCACTTTACGCAATGTCATAAAATCGGCAAACAATTATTTTTTAATTCAAAATTTCATTGTAAAATAGCGCCGTGATAAAATATTCAGTAGCAAAACAATTTTCAAGAGTTATAAGCGCAGAATAATTTTTGAGAGGTGAGCAACCATAGAACAGCGTAGGCAGTAATATATTCAACGCTAGCGGACATGTTGCATGTGTTTGAAAAAAAAACCGACCAACTGACCCATGGAGGCGATAACTCAACAATACAAAACAATCCGTCATATTGCTCATCAGATAAAAAGAACGATAAGCAAATACACTGCAATTGCACGTAGCACTGCAAACATGCACGAATCAACTCTACAGTTGCGGGCGAATGAGCCACTATCAACTTCTCTCGCTTATTCACCCAACACAGTCGAACAGCTTGATGTCGAAAGTTCATAAAATTTTAATATGAAATATCAAAATAAAAACAAGTTAATGAACTCAAAAATTTTGAAATAATTTAAAACGCACCTATAAATTAAACGTATGAAATAGCTGAAAATAAATGCGAATACAGATGAAACATGTTTACTAATATTGCATGATGTATGCAAAATTGGAAAATGCGCAAATTTAACAGTAAAAAATAAATAAAATAATCTTAAAAATTTGAAATCGCAAAAAAATCTCTACCTCAGAACAGCAGCAATTATAAAATATCATTCATTTTGGCCAAAGTTTGACAATTTAAATTTTTAATGAATCTAGAATTCATGTTTATTATTTATTCAATTGAAAGAAGATTCCTCAAACCTCTGAAAACGTGTGCATGTGTAGTGTAGGTCACTCAGCGTGCAAGCAGTTGACTAGTTGGGTAAGTTCGTCAAATTCCACGCCAGAGTATTTTTCCTTGGCTGCCAAATTCTTCGCAGACTAACAGGCTAAATAACTGATGTTTCAATTGATTGTGTCCGTCTTCCTTTTGTTATTAAAAGTATCAATTTAATTGAAAAACTTGTCATACCGAATGCAACATAGTCAGTCTTCTCAAGTTCAGCATTCATCAAGGTCAAGTGTTTTTTATGATTGGAATTGGAACACATGGATTTTGTTACATTTGTGACTTGTCTTCAAGATTATGTCGTTATAACGATAACATGTTAACAATTATAAGATTTTAAAGTATGGAAAGTAAAATATTCTAAGCCCATATTAATTGTTTTATCAAATTTGCCAGCTGCTCTTATAATGAACTCATCTATCATAAATTAGGTGTTCTAAATGAAAGCCATTCTAAAGTAATTTTTGCATTTTAAAACTATGTCGCGATTGTAATACACTTTTTATTTAAAATTAATTTATAACAACAACAAACAGCTTTCGTGTATATTTTAATCAAACATACACATTACCTCGGTCATGATTTTACTTCACTTACTGATTTCAATTATTTAAACTTTGTATGCCGCAGAGTTAAAAATAACATCGTCTGAAGGATGTTTGAACTTCAAGGGACATATAAATTAGCAAGTTTCGGAGGAAGTGTGTGGGATGGAGGCAATTTTTATAAAAGATTTCCGGTTATCATGAATCTAAGTTTTTATAAAAGAGGCGCTGAGTTGTGGATTCCCACGAATCGTTCATAATTTGCAATTATAGGCAATAACATAACTTGTCTAACATATTCTTCACTTATCTATTCAGTTTTACTAAGCTTTCTCAACTTATTTCATTACTAAGTCTACTTGACTTATTTCATTGCTTCTTTTCAAACTCTAACATCTTTATCAGTACAGTCTATGAAGCACTTTCTTCAAGGAAGGAATTGTCACATAAGCTAAGAAGATTATTCACTTAAACATTTTAAAATACGTTTGAAACACTTGAACTGACGCTCA